GGGTGGGTGTGGGTGTGGGGGGTGTGGGTGTGGGTGTGGGTGTGGGTGTGGGTGTGGGTGTGGGTATGGGTGTGGGTGTGGGTATGGGTGTGGGTGTGGGGTTGGGTGTGTGTGGGGTGTATGTGTGAGGCATCTCTTAGCCAACACCCACACTCACGCACATCCACACCCACACCCTCTTCAAGCGACATCACTTCTTTTTATCTAATCTCGTTATATATATCATGTATATCTTCCATTGTACAATCAGGCTATTCTATGATTGGCGTATGAACGTTCAGTTTAAGTTAAGTCATCTCAAAAAGATAAATGAAGTGCGTTTTAACGATTCTAGCGATTTTATTGGTTAATTCAGTTTTAACTTGTTCGGCGTGATTTCGGCCTAAGGCCCCAAACAGACTAGACGAATTAATATTCAATTAAGAGATGTAATTGGTGTTGCTATGTAGAAACACCAATCACATCTCTTAATTCAGTATTATTTCGTCTAGTCTGTTTCGAGCCTAACTCTTTTCTTTTATCTTAAGTTCAGTCAGTAAATTTTCATTTCGATTCCAGGATTGTTTTGTATTTTCTCGTTTAAATGATCTTTATCTCTTTTGAATTAACAAATGGAAAAAATACTTTTTCTTTTTTCTCCTGTTTAGATCTATTCTGTTGATCATCATCATTTCTATTTGTTCTTGTTTGGTGAGGATATTTTTGATTCAGGTTAGTCGAATTTTTGAATCAATTTGGTATCAACATTCCACGGTCTTTTTTTCCCGTGTTAGTAGATAAATTTAAATCGTGAATCTGTTGTCACACATCGGCATTATCAATCGAAAATGAATAACGAAAGTGAGTAGTTGATTGGTGTTCTTTAGAAACTTCATTCCGATTATAAATATTTGATTCAGTGGAAAAGTTTCTTCTTCTACTTTTATTACGAAAACAAACGTTGGGATAATTCTTGAAAGAAGATTTCAGCTTGTTGTTTATTTAATAAATTGTTATCTATTGATTTTTCTGTTTAGATGTTGTCGAAAAATTCAAGTTAATTGTGTCTCGTCTACCGATGTCAAGCACATTTAAACAACAGTTGGAATCTCTTCTTGGTCAGTATACAAATGATGATGAAATTTCATTACGTATGTTAATCGAGCAAACATATGTTCTAATGTTTGAAAACAATAAAAGCTCGTCAGAATTCAATGCACCAAAAGAAGCTAGTGAATGCACGAAATCCATTGAAGGAACTGTCAAGCAAAAAACGACTCAACAATTACTTAATGATATTATTGATCAATTTGATGCCTTGTTAGCAGAAATGATAGCTGATGAAGATGATTTGATTCGATTTGATATTGTGAAAATCGACTTACGGCAATTATTCATTCAAATGGAAAAAAATATTTCTACGTTAGAAAATGACGTTGGTGTACTAAAATCTCGTGTATTGGCATTGGAAGAAATGGAAAGTAACATTAATGTGATACAGATGGGGAACATAGCATTTCAACTTCTCAACAAAATGATTAGATATATCAAACCAAGTCTATCGAAAAGAGCTGCACGTGATGAACGTATATATTCATTACAAGGAGAAGAAAAATTTCCAGATTTAATCGATCTTATCAAGAAATATGATCCAAAGTTGACCATCTTCGATCTGGCACGATCAGTAAATGCGTTGAAAAAACAACGTGTTGAAAAGGCTCATGATGAACATCCAATGTCAAGTGATGAAATAGATTCAATCTTAACTGAATTTATTTCCGGTAATGATCAATATTTAAGTCAACAAGCAACGGTGGTGGTTCGTTTTCTAAAAATCTTAGCAGGACATCTGAATGAACCATTAATTGTTGATCTAGGATGATGACGAATATTATATTTTTAAATAAGCAGGTTTTTTTTGTTTCTTTCCTGTTTTATCGTTTTTTTTATCAAATAAAAAATATCTTTTCTAACAAGAAATCTGTATCTTTCTTTTCTCTTTTTGATTTGCCCTTTCATTGAATTCATTAACAGTCTGATCCAAAAGCTTTTTTGAAGATTTATTGCTTGACTTTCATCAAACAAAATCTCTTGCGTAAGTATTGATTGATATCGTTGTGATATACTCTGATTGGGTGTGGGTGTGGGCGTGAGTTTGGGTGCCAGATGATACATACGCACACCCGCACCCACACCCTTCCATCGAATACAGAAGTTATTCAAAATGCAGCTGGAATGAATGGTACAATTATTTTCTTTTTCATCTTCATTTATAAGACTTGTTTTTCTTCGTTTCTAGTCAGTAGTAGATATGGTTTTGATCTTATGGATGCTGGTTTAATGACTTGGTATGCAAGCGGTTGGAAAAATGTTCCACTTATGTCAACATGTGAATCAATGACTTATAATCCAAAAAAGACTATAAAGTCAAAGTCAAATGAAACATTT